TTTTTTTTTTTTTTTTTATTTTATATATATTTTATTATTATTTATTATTATTTGATTAGCGCACTCTACCAATTGGCAACAATCTAATCAGTCTTTAATATAATCGGTTTCATTGGGTCTTCTTTGTTGCTTAAGACTAATAATTAACCCAGACATTTTAGGGAAAATATTGCTGTTGTTGTATTGATGATGTTTAGGCAAAACCCGGTCAGGTAGGTCTTGAGGGTGGTGTCGCTTTAGTCTTCTTTGACTCTTGTTCGAGGGTCAGCGTTATTAATGGCAGCAGTTCCAAGTTTCCTGGCTAGGCTGTTGGGGTGCTCATTTAACCTTCCATGTACTTCCGAGCAAGTTCCTGCAGCTTGTCTCCAAGTTTGGGCACATTGGATCACGTTCGATGTCACTGGTTCGCATAAACCACGGAGCTCCAGAGATCCTTCGAAGTGTTTCGCTTGCAGAACCCGGATTTTGTTGAGGTTGGTTTTGCAGCGATGCCATAAACCTGGAGTCCAAGAAAAGAGTTGGCGCTAATATGGATTTATAAATTTGGACCTTACAGCCAAGTGCGAGCTTGTTGCGTGGTGCGAGAAGCCAAGCCATCCGAAAACTTTGGTCCTGTAAGAGTGTTGGATACAAGTAATGTGCCTGCCAAATGTTAGTTTTTGTCCAAAGTGACACCAAGGTACTTGTATGCGGAAGGGCTCTGATTGGACTTCCGTTGAGGCTGACTCCAGGGCAGCTACTCGACAATTGGTGAACGTTACATTGGCACATTTGTCTGCGTTTACTCGAATGTTCCAGTTCATGGCCCATTGGTGAAATGCGTCCAGATATTGTTGCAATGCAAATGTGGCGCCAATATACTTTTGCTTTTGTCAGGACAGCGTGTCATCGGCGTAGGTCGCAATTAGCACGTTTTGTTCAGCAACTTCAGTGATTGGAGATTGTGTAGGCATATCTGAAGCATAAATACTGTAGAGATAGGGCCGAGGACGCTACCTTGGGGAACTCCGGCAGAGATCGGTTTGGTTGACGACTTGTACCCATCAGCAGATACGTGGAAAGTGCGTTCTTCCAGGAAGCTTTCACGAGCTGGAACAGCTGTGGCGTAAAAGACTTTGGCTTTGTACAGGAGCCCAGGGTGCCACACTCTGTCAAAGGCCTGCTGGATGTCAAGGAAGGCAGCAACTGCATACTCCTGCTTCTCTAGGGCTTCTAAAGCAAAATTGACAACTCTGTGCAATTGCTCAGGAGTTCCATGTTGAAGACGAAAGCCGAACTGAAATTCCGGGATCGCACTGGGACATTCTCGTAAGTGAGCAGCCTATTTAGGATCAGCCTTTCCATGATTTTTCCCAGGCCTGGTAGAAGACTAATGGGCCTCAGAGTCCACGTCAGTCGGCGATTTACCTGGTTTTGGGATCATGATTATACTCGCCGATTTCCAAACTTTCGGGAAGTATCCAAGAGTTAGTATGCTGTTGAATAATGACACCAGGAATTGCAAGGCTTGATCCGGTAAAAGTCGAATCGTTCTGTTGTCGAGCAGGTCTTCGCCGGGAGTTTTCTTCGGTGGAAGTTTAGCTACAAGCTCTTTAACCTCTGTCAGTGTGACAGGGCTAGCAGGCAGGCTCATTTGAAATGGAGATTCTAGAAAGTCTTCAACTTGTCGACGTATGCTTTCAGGTGAATAGTCGTAAGGCTTGAAACGTTGCTCGAGGTTGTTAGCGAACGCTTCAGCTTTCCCAGGCCGTACGGCACCAGCCACCTGAGGGATTCTTAATTGCTGACTTTGGGGTGGGCTGAGCCTTGTACCGTTTGTGATACGCCACAACGAGTAGTTGGAACTAGCGTCTGTGCCCAGATTCTCCAAAAGCTGTCAATAGATTCTTGTTTTCTCGGGCGAGCGCCTTGCTTAGACAGTTAGCAAGCCGTTTATGTATCTGATGCATTCGAGCGTCTCCCGTTCTTGCATATTCTCTTCTTACTCTTCGCTTTAGGTTGAGAAGTGCCGCAATCTGTGTGGTAGCTGGAGATGTCTAGAGGTCTCTGTATTTTGGCGATTCCCAGGTGCAGCTATCTCAGCAGCCTGGTTTATCATGCCATGAAAAGGCTGATGGCATTGCAATGTCAGAAGGTTCCTGGGCTTCTATGTAACCTCGCTCAGCTGCTCTAGGTAGGCTTTGAATGCATTTGTATTAGCACCTCTGGGAAGGAGTTGCGTGCGCTGTGGTTTTTCACTGGTGTGGCATGCAATCTGGCCAGGATTGGAGTGTGGTCCGAGGAGAGTTCATGGAGTGTTTTACTTCTAGCCTGTTTATAGCGTATCCGTTGATTATGAAAAAACAAGCGCTGTCGGTGTTATCAGGGGTTGTATGAGTAAAAGTGGGTTCACCTGTGGCAAGTACTTGGTAATGCCCATTTGCAATGACATCTGCAACTGTTTACCCCTTCTACAGGCTCTTGAGTTTCCCCACCATGCATGTTTGGCATTATAGTCACCGCCAGCAATAAATTTGCTTCCAAGTCCGGCCAGCAAGGACTCAAATTCGATTGGATCCATCTTTCTGCTGGAGGTAGATATAAGCTGCTAATGTTACATTTCCGTCTGCAGTCTGTAATGAATGCTCGCTATCTGCCCGTCATTGCTAGAGGCGGCGGGCAAGGGATTATGGCTTAGGAATCCTTTATAATGACTGCAGAGCCACCTTTGCTGTTGCCACTAGGGTGATAAGCATGGTATATAAGATAGCCTGCAAGTAGATGCGCTGACCATCGCGCATGTGAGTTTCTGTGGCAAGCATTACATCTATGTTATGATCGCTGAGGAATATTCGAAGCTCTTCAGATACTCTGACTAATCCACGAGCGTTCCACAATCCGATATTTAATTCTGATTGAATCATTTCGGCAATCGCGCAATGAGAACGTGAACCAGCTCTCGAAAGCCTTGTTGGACTCAGCATTTTCCTGCATCAGCTTAAATAAAGTGTCCAGTTTGCTATTAATGTCGCGGATGGCATTATCTAACGCCGGAATTTAAGGGTGAGCCTAGGGTCTGAAGGAGAGCTTGCGTCACTCTGCGAGGTTGAGCCAGTCCTTGCTTGCATATCCTTGGGTCGAGCTATATCAGCATACGATATATTCGTTCTTAATGCCTGAGCTGGTATAAATCCACGCGATACGCGTCCTGGATCATTTGTTACCGGGAGTCTAGGCCTCGGCTTTTGTTTTTTATTTTTTCTAATCTGACCGGGCAATCTTTATCTGTCGAGACGTGGTTACCGCCACAGTTTACGCACAAGCATGTATCGCTTACACAGAGTGTGGAACCAGTAACATGAGAACCACTACATTTACCACAAACAGGGTCCTGAACACAATAGTTTTTAGAATGTCCAAAAATTTGGCATCTTTGACATTGAAGTAATTCTTTTCTACGGGGTGCACGCTCGACAGTGACTCTGTATCTCCCGAGTTGCGTAATTTTAGGGACTCTGCGACGTTTGCACCCTGCTTAAGGTTGATATAAAACATATTCTGCCTAGTTTTATAATTTACTGTAGCTTCATTATCATCTTCGTTCACCTGGATGTTCTTCCAATCAGTCTTTTGGGGCAGTATATGTTAAGTACCTCAAAGCCGAATTCAGTAAATCCCTGTGTTATTTGAGATTTCGGAACGTTTGTATGGAGTCCTTCAGAACTACTCTGTAGGCCTTGTCTTCTTTAACTGATGGTGCCAAAATTTACACTTAAGAGTTGTCAGTGTTTTACAGCTAGCCGAAAAGCGTCTGAGTTGGCTGTATATATTCTGGATACACCAAATTTGGAAGTGCGGATGTTGTAGTTTTGGAGCCAATGCTAAGGTCAAGAGATTGTTCCAATAAGACCGGATCGCTTACGTTCGGTACACAAATAGCAGGGATCTTGTTAGATTTTGTAGGCTGTCTATCTCCATTGGGGGCATCAGACTCATCATTGTCATCCAACATGTCTTGCTCCATACTTTCCGCTTCAGCAGCCAGAATCGCAAAGCGATTGTTTCCGAATGTCGGTGCAGCGGATGTAGAGGCCGCCTCATTGGGAGTCGCAGTGGCCTGCCGTTTAGTTTTGCGAATCGGAGGAGGGACAGGACAGGTAAAGGGGAGTTAGTCACTCCTTTGCGTTTCCTATTAATACTCCGATTGTCTGCTTGAAAGATGCATTTTGTTAAATTATTGTCAGACATAGTTGGGTAAATGCTAGGTGCCACGATTGCAGACCCAGTGTATGTTGGAGTACAGACCAAGCTTGCCTGGACGTTGGAGATGGTGCAGGTTACACTTGTAGTGGCGTTGCTGCTGATTGCCACCAACGAGGAGGTCGTTGCTTGTGTTGGCATACCTGCGAGTAAAGCAGTTACATCTGTACGCTTAGCGCGGAGCTGGCAGCGTATTTCTTCAGGGTCTGCATCAGCTACTTTCCTCATCTCCTCAAACTTATCACATCCATTACTGGGGCGCAATTGAGCAGGTAAATTCTCCATTATATCGGACGATGTAAGTCCGAGAGACAGGTCGATACAACCTCTCGCTCGCGCAGACGCCAGGGCGAGGGCAAAGCACAAAACAGCTTAAAACTTGCTTATTGTTATAAGAATCGCGATAAAATACCGTCACCGCTCAGCAGTGACTGCAGATAAACTTCGTGTGCAAGAAAAGCCCACGAGCCAAGAAGATGTTTAAAAAACACAAAATATAATTTAGGAGCTACACGTGGATTTCTACCAAGCTGATTGCCATTCACAACGAAACTCATCCAACTCTTTGAGCATCGAATAAAAAAATAGTTTCACTGAAAAATAAATTATTCAATTTGGTTATTTTTAAGTTAATTCTTAAGATGTATTCAAATTCTACCTATTTATCTTAAAATATGAGAATATTCTGAGATCTTCCGAGAATTTAACTGGCAAGCCAACCTCAGTAAGTCAAAAAACATAGTCAAATGATACAGAAAATACTTTAAAATCGAACACTGAATACACTAAACACGGTTGTTAAAGTGGCGTTGGCGAAATGCAAAGAAATTCAACAATGAGTCGTAACTTGACATTTTGTCAAAAGTATCAGTTACTGCTATGGAAGGACATGAAAATACAATTTGCAAATGTAGTAGAATTCATTATGATAATTTTACTTGCTGCCCTTATGCCTTTGTTGATATCCATTGGAACGAAGGTTGCAAAATCGATGTTTCCCTTCGACATAGAACTGGAAAAAGGGCCCGATCCAAAAAGTGTTAAAACAAGTTTGTAAGTGAGTACTCTTTAGAAGACTTTGGCGTAATTATATTTATTGTATTTTCTTTTTAGATTTAAGGAGCTTTATTTTACACCTTACAATGGTCTTATTGAGAAACTTGTTTTTGAACTTGCTAATATCACCGACTTTACGCATTGCGAAAGTTTTGACGAGACTGAAGAGCTCTACCTTAAAATGTTAAAAAACCAAAAAGCAGTCGGGATTGAGTTCCCCCCTGAGTGGGATTATTTTACAACCCTTCCCGACACCCTAAATTTTACATTATATATGCCGGTATATATAAAAAGTAGTAGTTTCAAATATTTCGAATCAGGATTTTTATTAATGCAAGAACAGCTATCACAAATATTTATTAAATGGAAGAGTAAAGGCAGGAAAAATATTACGTCGGTTCGGATGAATCATTTTCCTTACCCCAGATATGTGCCAAATCACTACTCGGAATCAGCTAAAGTCATGGCATACATGTCCATAGTATCCTTTTTTCTTCCCTGCATAACAATCGCCAAGGTATGATTAGCAAGTTAAGTGTAGCACTCATAATCTAATTTATCTTTTTTGTTTTTTGTGATTTTTCAAAGTATATAGTAGCCGAAAAGGAGTACCAGCAAAAAGCAATATTAAACGCAATGGGATTTAGAAACAGTATTCATTGGTTTGCCTGGTATACGAAATCGATGGTACTGCTATTACTATGCGTGTTAATTATGATTAGTATTTTTGCAACTGGAATGATTTATGAATTCAGTAACCTGCTCTGTCTTTTCGTCGTACTTCTTGTTTACATCCATTCACTCGTGTTCTTTGCCTTCTTCGTAAGCTCACTTTGTTCAAGAAGTTATTGGGCCGTCGTGATTGCACTTTTGCTCTATGCGGCCACGGTTATTCCCTTTGTGATTGTGGGCACGAAAAGAGCAAGTCTTGCCGCACAAACGGCTGCCTGTTTTGGACTGAACTCGGCCCTGTTCTACATATTGCATTCCGTGGCCACCATGGAGGCTCAGTCGGTGGGAATACAGTGGTACACCATGGCCAAAACCGCATCATATGGCCATAAGCTGAGCATAGTTGTCATTATGCTAATCATGTTTGCAATCAGCTGGATCGAACTGCTGATATGTCTCTACATTGAGGAGGTGCGACCCGGCGAGTTTGGTGTGCCCCACCCATGGTACTATCCATGTCAGAAAAGGTACTGGTGTCCACACCGATTTGTACCACCGCTTCTGCCGAAGTCAAGGAATTTGAATTTTCCACTTCCATTCGGATTACTTCTTCCCAATCCAGACGATCAAAGACCGACGGGAAGCATTCAGAAGAGACCAAAAGATAAAAAAATTGGTGTCGAAATAAGGAATCTCAACAAAACGTTTGGACATCGCGAGGTGGTGAAGAATTTAACCTTTAATATGTACGAGAATGAGATTACTGCCCTGCTGGGACACAACGGTGCTGGGAAGACCACCACCATACTGATGCTTTGTGGCATGTTGCCACCCACATCCGGAACAGCCCTTATTAATGGCTATGATATAGTTAGGGATCGAATGATAGCCAAAAGTAACTTGGGCATCTGTCTCCAACGCAGTGTCCTCTTCAAGGGGCTAAGCGTGAGTGATCACATCTACTTCTTCAGCCGCTTGAAGGGCTATACAAAAAAAGAGGCCAGTATAGAGGCGGATGTTTACATCAGCAAGCTCCACTTGACCGAGTTTAAAAAGTTGCACGCCTTGAAACTAAGCGCCGGCAATCAGCGAAGATTGTCCCTGGCCTGCGCCCTGTGCGGTGGCTCCAAGGTGATCTTCTGTGACGAACCATCCTCCGGTTTGGATCAGATGGGACGCCACGATCTCTGGCGGCTGTTGCAGAAGGAGAAGTTCGGCCGCACCGTCCTGATGACCACCCATCTCATGGAGGAGGGCGAGATCCTCGGCGATCGCATCGCCATCATGTGCGAGGGACAGCTCCACTGCTACGGCACACTGAGGTTCCTTAAGCAATCGCAAAACACCAGCTACACGCTATCCTGCGCAATGGGCGCCAATTGCAAGGTGGATAAGGTGACGGAGCTGGTAACGCGATACGTGCCCACCGCCACTTCGGTTGTGCGCGGCTTGGATGTCAACTACAAACTGCCGCGAAACAAAATTGACAAATTCTCGGAATTATTTCGCGAGCTTGAGCATAGTATAGAGAGCCTTGATATCATCGATTTTGGCTTGTCCGATTCTAGTCTGGAGGAGATCTTCCTTAGTCTGCATTCGGACCGTCTTGTCGGCGGAGCTGATCCAGGAGATGAAGGTAAGATTATGACTTTCCAGCAGATATACTGACTTGCTTTGTTAAATCGGAGTACGAAACCTTTATACATGCATAATGGTTAGACGGATTGATCCGATTTTTATCGTTTTATTTGCATTTGTTTTAGGTTTCCCTTTACACATCCATAAGCCGTCATAGTCATAATTATCTATTTTGTCTGTTGAGTCTAAAAACTTATTTGGTGTGATAAATTTGTAGTAATTAGTATTGGTTTTTAAAAGGGTTTTACGAAAGAAAATTTTGGGAAAACGAGGCCTTAAAGTTGGTAGTTTAATTTAAGTATTGTGTTGATAAATTGATAGCGTAATGAGACGAAATTTTTTTTGCAGAGAGATCTGATTTTGGAGGTCAAACTGAATTTTCGAAACGATCAAAAGTAAAAAGGGCGAAAGAAGCGCCAACAACTTCACGAGACAAATCCCAATTAGAACAGGAACCGGAACCAGAACGGAAGAAAGTACCAAGACCCAAAAGGTTGCCAGAACCGAGAAAACCACCAGAGTCGAAGCCCACACAGATAATAACCGTGCCGAAGGAAAGATTGAGGCCAATGATCAGAAGAAAAGTGAGCTGCACGCGCCAATTGCAGGCAATGATGATAAAGAAAGCTAATTACACAGTCAATCATATTTTCATATTTCTATTAATCCTGATCATACCACTTATATATTTTTTCATAGTCCTTGGGACCACCGATCTTGCGAAAGATATCCCACGAAAAAAACTGCCAATTGTGCTGCCACTGTCATTAGACTATTATAACTATGATGACATGATCATCTTACTTGATGTCAACAATAAGTTGTATGAAAAAGAGGGGAATGCCTATGTGAAATTGGTTAAAAGCCCTGCCACGGTACAAAAGAAAGACTCAATTTTTTCGTACATTATTAGAGCATCGCCATTGATACGCCGTGATATCAATCGAAAGTTTGTTTGTGGGGCTTCATTTGATAATGAATCGGCTATAACTGCGTGGTTCAATAGCGATGCGTTTGAACACTCGGCACCCATTGCCATGAATCTGGTATACAATGCCCTCGGAAAAGTAGCCTGTGGTAACAGATTTGGCATTGTTGTAAACAGAGGTCAGTTGGAAGATCATAGTGTGAAATATAGAAGATTGGGAAAACATAAATATAAACGGCAGGATAGTGTTGATTATGAAAAAGAAACGAAAGAAAATGAAGAAAATCGTATCGTTAGGCACAATGTTTCTGTTTCCTATAATACGCTTGCAGATTCGGAAACTAATAATCTTCTAATACATCAGATGTCTATTGCAGAATCAGCAACAACCTTATTTAATGAAACGGATAGTATGAAAAGAATTTTTGGTGGCACTATTGTAACAACTGTATATCTAGCTTTAGCCTTGAGCATTTTTGTCGTGTTTGTAACGGAGGAACGCGTCCAGCAAATGAAATTGCAACAGGAAATACAAGGACTTACTCCATTCATTTTTTGGTTGACCCACTTTTTCTGGGACTATCTAATCTTTTTTATATTTATGCTGGCACCTAACCATTGCTCTATATCAATCCACAATTTGGTACCAAGTCCTAGTCATCTTCCTATTTATAGGATTCGCTTGCTTGCCGTTCATCTACCTTTGCAGTCTGATGTTCACTAAGCCAGCTACTGCGTTCGCTGTAAACTTTACGGTTCACGTGGTAACGGGTAAGTAAATACCTTAAGAAATGAAAATTAATATGGAATTCCATAGGTCGGTTTGATAATAGCAATAAACGAATATTTAAAAACAAGTGAAATTGAAATTGTATCTCTTTGACTAGGTGGAATACTACTAACCTGTGTCTATTTGTTGAGATTCTCTGTCAGTTCAGAAGATGTATTTCTTATATTTGCCATATTCCCAATGTACGTGGGTGCCTTTGGTCTTTTTAAATGCCTTTCACTGCAAGAATATTGCGGACGTGAGTTACTTCCTCCAATCAATGAGCTCAAATGCAGATTTGGAAGCGGTAACGTATTCTGTGCATGTCAAGGTAATACTTTCTATTCATAAATTCGTAATAGTAACCATTCTGTTTCTTGATGCAGAGGAATATAAATGGGCAGACCTTTGGTTACTATTGATTCATGGCTTTATGTGGTTTTTCTTCCTTTGGATTACGTGCTTCAGCCGCGAGATTAGCCATATTTGTACCTCTAGCAAATCAAATCGTATCTGGGACGATGAATCTGACAAACACGGCAGGGTGCTTGATGAGGAACAAAGAGTGGCAGACATTCCCAAGTACGATCATGAAGACTATCCCCTAATTGTGGACCAGGTTAAAAAGAATTACTGCCGCACGAAAGCAGTCAATTTAGTTTCATTCGCGTTGGAACCGTACGTATTGGAGTCGTTAAGCAATCCAACCCAAATAACTTTTCATTGGGTATCGACAGCGGCGATTGTTTCGGGTTATTGGGCGCCAATGGAGCCGGCAAGAGTACTATGTTCCGGATGATTGTGGGCGAGACCAGCATGACCGGTGGAAACATCTATGTCAAAGGATATAGCATGCGGGAACACATGACCTCGGCCATGAAAAACGTGGGCTACTGTCCGCAGTTCGACACTCTCCACAGCTTTCTCACCGGCCGCCAAACGCTCAAGATTTTCTGCCTGCTCCGAGGAGTGCCGAAGTATCATCTGAATTGGGTCTCCGAACGGTTGGCATACGACTTTGGATTCAGGGACCAACTGGATAAGAAAATCCATACCTATAGTGGCGGGACTAAAAGAAAACTGACGACAGCCCTCGCTGTCAATGGCGGATGGTTGGTGTGCCTCGACGAGCCCAACAACGGAGTTGATCTCTTGGCCCGCCACTTTTTGTGGCAGAAATTGGAGACCGTAGTCACGGATGGCAGGGCAGTACTCCTGACCACCCAGAACGTGGAGGATGTCAACGCCCTTTGCACCAGAGTCGGCTTACTGGTCTCAGGCGAGCTGACGTGCATCGGATCGGTGCAGCAGGTGCGATCAGAAGTTTCTCATATCATGGTGCTTGGGATCCAGGTCAAGGTCAAGAACGATCCCCAAGCGTAAGTAATTTTATTGAGATATTTTCTCAAAATTCGAAAATGTAAAGCTAAAGAATTCGCGAAAACAATAACTGTGTTTAGAGCATGAGGTCTTATCAACATTTTAACAATAATATTTTGGCCTGGTTAGATTTTGATTACAATCATCATGATGCAGTACTAGTAATATTTTGATTCACTTTTTTTTTGCAGGCAGAAGGAGGTTCTGGAAACAGTTATGGCTGAAATAGATAATCTCTTTCCAGCGTCACTTTTACAGTAAGATCTAATAAATCAATTTAATGGACGGGTCTAATTTTATTGTCCGTTTTTTTTAAAGGGAAGCGTTAGGAAATTCCCTTAGATATCATATATATAAAAGTGATACAACGTGGTCCAACCTTTTTTACCAGATGGAACTAAAACGGAACGACGGTAAATTGGAAGACTATTCCATAACTCAAGCTTCCCTGGACGAAATTTTAATGGAACTGAATAACGAAGAATTTAATATAAACGTTGACTCAGACTCATCTGTAGATATGGAGGAAGTTGTGATTGTCAAGACAAATAAAAAAAAATTTTCAAATTTAGATATAACAAAATTTGAAAAAGAAGATAAACAAAGGAAAAAAACAGATAAAATTAAAGATGATGAAGGAAAGAAGGAACGAGAACTAAAGAGGAAAAACGACAAAGCAAAAGGAAAAGGAAAGGGAAAGGAAAAAGGAAAAGACAAAATACGGAGACCAGCATCATCCTCTGAAAGTACTGATAGTGATATTCAATGATAAAGGAAAACACCTAACTAAAACATTAACAAATGACAAGAGTACCCAAACCATTACGATATGAGCCTATAAGAAATTTGTAAGTCTACATATATAGCAGTTATACAACAATTTATACTTTCCCACCTTCAATTCCAGAGTAGTTAAATAGCAGCCGACCGTATTTGTATTCATTAAGGAAATGTTTGCAAGTTTGCCCGCGTTTCCTTTTCTCTCATCCTTCGACCCTGCACTTTGGCTTTTTGGTGAGCCTGGCTGCGTTCCGAGGGCAACGGTTGATTAAAATGTCAAATGCCTTGCATATTTTAAATGCCATCGCGTCAACCCCAGAGGAAAATTCATCCGAAAATTGAGGCTCAAGCTGAAAACCAGCAAGGACCATACAACGGGGCAATTAAGGACGAGAAGACCTCAGCTAAAACCAAGGACGAGCTCCATAATAAGAATGGCGCATATTTAATTGCCACTTCTGGAAGATGACAGGTGCTGTAATACATACATACATATATGGTGGAGAAGTCGTCCCACTCTCATTTTGGCTACAATTTCAAGAATATTTTGATATAATTTGTATCACTAAATTATCTGAATTTGTAAAGATTTTTAATACTTTTAAGGTACGATAAATAGAATATAAATTTATGCTTTCTCCTTGTACAACACAAAGATATTAATTAATAATAAAAACACTTTTATACAAAAATAATTCCATCGACAAAGAAGCCAAAATGGAATAATACATTAATCATTAAAATGGTTATAAACAAAGAAAAAAATCATTGAAAAATCAGTTTGACAAATTGTTTGTACGATATCATTAGTTACCCCTTGATATTTTTTTAATATTATATTAAAGTTTCCATGATTTAATGCGCAATGTTCTTCTAGCCTTTGATAATTACCTGAAATGAGGTAGAGAAAATATAAAATATATTGGTTTAGTTTTGAATTGAAGCAATGTATAGTAAAGTTCTAGCTAAACAACAAACTTAAATTAAAGTCCAACTTTGGGTGAGTACTTTGAAAAATGGCAACCAAAAGTCGAAAGTTTCCCGCTTATCAAGTGTTGGGCAAGTTAGCGTGTGCAGGAGCGAAAAACAAATTGTTACTGGCCTGCAACCAATGGCGCTGAGATAAAGCTGGGGAACCAACGACAACGATGGCAAATACTAATTTTACAAGGGAACGCGGAAACGGAAAATGCCCAACTACGCTAGGCAAAGTGCGCGAGTTGGCTCACAAAACTTTCTCCGAAACAAAATAAAACTGAGAAAAAGGAAAATGATGAAGGAAAAACAACAAAAGCGAAAGCTAAAATTAGTCAAGCGCAAAATCAAGGCGCTGACTTTTCAGTTCTAGCGTAATGTTGATATATTAACTTGTTACCATCGCTCTGGACGTTGAAAAAAGAGGACTTTTGAAGTAACGAATTAATTGCAGGCAACTAAAGGGTACAAAAGCTTTAAGCATTACTGAAGTTGCAAAGAGTATTCTCAAGGAGTAAGTTACAAGCATTGGTTTCATTGAAAATTGTATTTGCTCAAGAGCTTCTTATTAAGTTTGCTTTAATAATCTTTAAAAACCCATTTACCCTTAGTTACTATAATTTAAAATATTTAATGGCTTGTACCACCTTTCATATGATATTCAGCTTTTATTACCAACAAGATTTGTTTGAGCCCTTCATTTTAATATTTCCTGGAATAAAGGTGGATTTACCACACCATTATCGCCTATATTATAAATATGTCATAAGGATGATGGGCTTACAAGGGTATTTCAATCAGCTGACTTCGGATTTTTCCCAGTTTTCTTCTTTACTTTACTTCTTGAAGCAACTTTTTCGTTTATTCACTGTTGACGGGATAAAATAATAAATCATAGAAAATATATGCGCTCTTTCGCTCGTTTCACATTGTTTTTGCCCTAATGTTCATGGCGTATGTGTGCCGGAAACACGTCAGCCTGTTACGGCAGCGGAAGCTGATATACTTGGAGTTGGAGGTGGCTGCCCAGCCAGGTTGCATGTAATGAGGCACTGATTGGTGCCTGAGAAATTGCCGCTTGCAGTTCTGTGCTGATTATTTTGCGCCATTTTTCTACGCTTGGTCTCCTTTCTTGGGAGCTAAATCAAACAAGTTGACACTTGCCACACCCTGCTTTTTTAGCACGGGTCCATGTTCATGCATAACTTTTGCCACTTTATGTGGCGCTGGCGTCAAGAACTTAACCTGCATCCTGTTGCAGTTGGCAGGCAAAATGTCGCCCTGCCTTTTACCCCATTATGCATTGTGACACTACTTTTTTCTGTTTTCCCCGTTGCTTGGGAATTTTCGCAGTGTTTCTCAAGTGGCAAGCGGAGCTGTCTTTCCCACGTCTGCTGCCTGCACTTTGCATAACTTTGTTGCATACTTTTGAGCGTGTTTCGTCCCAGGATCATGTTCCACAGCTCCCCATAGAAGAGCTCCCCATTCGCTTCTGCTCTGCTGCCACATTATGTATTATGAATGCATAAACATTATACCTGACGTTTACTTAATGCTCGCATAACTCGGAAGCTGGAAAAACTTTTCAATAATTACTGGCTAAAACATCACAGACGCAAAGCGACCTAAACAGGCGTAGGTTAAGTAGGCGGAAAAGTTTGCGTGGGCTTTGTGAGTTATAATTTTTTTTCTATTGGGAATATAATATATATATTTTGTTCCTTAGTTTTCTTGACGCCACAATAAGCAATCATTATGCTTTTACTTTAAAAAAACAAAAACTGTACTAGATTTTAAATAAAAACAAGAAACATTTGTACAAAAAATTATCTAAGTGATTAATAAACTAGTCCACTCATAATTTAAAATGTAAATACAAAATATAATGACACTTTGAGGTCCTTTCGCATGGCGCGAAACTGGAAAGGATTCCATTGTTGGCTTTGATTCCATTAAAGCAGCTTTGCAGAGACACTCGAAAGAATTATAATTTTCAATTCCAGACTGTGAGCTTCTCCACCGCCTCCTCTTATATAAAAAGCAACAACAGGAAGTCAACATAGCACGGTCTTATCCTCCGCAATCTCTGCCACCGCCTATATAAAGGAATATCTCGCACCGCTTAAGCCCGTCAAAGCTGCTGCAATTACCTTGTTAATACGCATAAAAATGATGTAACAAGAGGGACAGAAGAGACTGGATCCCCTTTAAACCCAAAGAGCTGGGGAATCCCCTAAGAAGCAGCTTTGCCGTCAGCGACAAAACACAATCAGATTAAAACAGGGCAAAAAGAACAAAGTTTTCTTTTTCATTTGCCGTAACGCACAGCAGTTTTAATCCGCTTTTAATTGCCTGAAATCCAATTGGCGACCTACATAGCAACCTGGTTCGAACTTACTCCCATCCTCTTCCCTCTTCCAATCCCTTCCACCCATAATCCGTAACCCGTAAAATGGACAAGCAATTAGCAGAGTAAAAAAAACGGAGAAACCAGTTTGCTGAACTGGATGTGGGGGGTCAAATAAAAACTTTTATTCCAGCAGTCCGTGGAGGTGGCAAATTCCAAAAGTATGCAACAAAAAGTATTTTACTTAAACCGCCAATGATGAAATTGCTTTAGCCACAAAATATTTTATTAAATTTGCTAGTTTATTTATTTAATTCTCCGATTGCCAGTTAGCCGAGTTGCAGTTTAAATTGGTTGCTAGGATATTGCTTTGCAGCATATTCATTGCAAGTAAACACTTTTAGTTGTAATAGACAGCAGACTGCTGACAAAAATAAAATAAAAGGACAACGAAAACCGCAATATTTGTATTATTACCAAAGTGTACAAATTTCTGTCGCAGGAAAACACAATTTCACCTCAAGTTACGTTTTTTTCCGGCCAGTTTCTTTTTTCATTGTCAGTTGGCTTTGTTGACTCTCCTGTCTGCCTGCACTTGACATTATTCACAGGGAGGATAAATGGCGTTGGCTGTTCTTCGTACCAGCTGGCCATTGCCTTTAATTGTCTTGACTTGACTTGGCTGGATTCAACTGGCTTTCCTGTCATATTCTGTTTCCCAGCGAACTGCCAAAACCACTAGGTTCTAATTGTTATTGCATTTTGACAGGTGCCCAACAGGGGTCTTCCCCTTTCCATTTTTTCATCTCCCCCTGTCTAAGGATCATCTTAATATTTGGAGTGAAATACATTATTAATATCCGTTTAAAAATTCATCTACGAATTTAATCAACTTTAATGAACTCGGAAGCGGTTATTAGAAATCAGTTGATATCTAGAAATAATACACTTTACAAATATTAAGTTTTCAAATAGTTTTCCTTATTTGTAATCTTTGACTAGTTCACCCCCAGTACGTAGACTACATTTGAATATCCGTTGAAAAAGTAATATACGAAAGTAATCAATTTGAACAAAACCGGAAGCCAATATCTTAAATCAGACTTACAAACATAAATAGTAATAATAATATTTTAAAGGAAAATACTTTTACCAATTTAGTCTTCAAATAGTTTTCCTTGATTTAACCTTCGACTAGTTAACCTCCAGTACGTGGACTACCCTCGAAGTCATTTATAAATGCGATCCTGGGCGATGCCAACTAACCCGCACAAATTTATTATGGTCTAGTCTATGGGCGGCGTCCGGCCAGAGAATGAAGATAATAAATTCTCGCACTAAAACCTGAGCGACATTCAACAAAATAATTACCAGCATATTTCGAATGTCTCACGGGTGGCACCGAGCCACAATTTATCATTTTGCTTCAGTTGTGGGTGAACACAGTGGGAGGGAACAGGAGACCAGGAGCTCATTTCATAACTCAAAAGCCTCGAGAGTCATTTATAAGGCTGGAAGGCAAAAAGTTGTTTTTTCTTGCAGGGGGAAGGGCAACTTTGACTTGAACTTGTTATTTAACACTTTGGAAGCAAGGCGTACACTGACAACTGGGCGTGGTCAGAGCTCTTAAAATATATATATACAATGATAGAAATGCACATTTGGGGGGAGGATAGATGTACGGACTGTTGAGACAGTCCGGAGTACTCGACGGGATATTCCGTTTGAAGTGCGAATAGTTTAGCCAAGCATTCGTCTATGTCCCAGTGTCTGCATGTCATGGTTCCAAGTTAAGCATTGCAAACACGTATTTAGCAATTAATTACACTTGTGTCTGAGAGTTAGAACGAGAGGGGGAAAGGCCACGACTTCTAGACTCTCGGTTTGACATGTCATTATGCGCTTTTAGCATCTGTTTGCAAATTGGTACTACTACGCACATGTGCTGTCAGTTGTCATCTGTGCATTTTGGGGCTCCTCACCCACTAGGATGCAGTAAAACGTATATTTTAATTGGTATTTTGCAATTTTGGGCAATCAAATAAATTGGGGGATATGCTTTCAGACAAGTAGCAATACATGTTTACAAATTTAAGTTTAATGTGTAGGTGTCCAATTTTAATTAATGTGTAGGTCGGCACTCTTTAAACCTTTTATAATCAAACTTCTTACTTTTCTTAATAAATTTCAACTAAAACCCCTAAAAATAAGCCTCTACAAAGTAAGCAACATAAACACTGTGCAGAAACTTTAGAAGTTTGGAGAACTTTAAAGAATTCAGCTCCCTACTCTCCCTCATTACGCTTCACTTGCTTCATTCTTTTGGCGAACATAAATTGGCAAAGAAAAAAAACGTTCTTCCTGCTTGGCAAA